GGGTGGGGCTGGGAAGGGCACCACGGGAGCATAATGTGTTCTTTTGCGGGTGTTTCGGGTACGACCATACTCGGCCGAATGCACCATATCCCGTCCGATTTGTGAAGTTAAGCGGCCACAGGCCTCGTTAGTACGGCGATCAGTGATGGCGCTGGAACCCGGGGCGCCGTACCCTCCTCAATTTTTTTTTTTTTGCCAACATCATGGGGTAGGTGGGTGGACCTCTGAAGTGAATCACGGCGCGCCTTTGGCAATGAGGGCTGTCCAATCGCGGCGCCCAGTTTGCGCATTTCACCCATTCAGGAAAGCCAAACATACTTCACACATTGTTTTGGTGGGGCGGGCGGCGGGGTCCCAACAAACCAAAAATACCTATGAGGCAATATGTTCTTTTTGTACTTGCTTTTCCTTTTCTGCATTTCCCATGGATTTCCTTTTCACACCACACATGGCAGCAGTGGCGGAACGCCTTAACACCACCATAGCAGAATTTGCCTTTATCATAGGGGAAGGACTCACCCTCATGTTTTTTTTGTCCATGGCGTGGGTCACCAAGTAAAAAGCGCGGTTGAACGGCCACACCATGTCACGAGGGGAACGGGGAAGGGTCATCTTTGTGGAATACCTTTCGAACCCATCTTACTCAGCGTTGAAGTAGGGAAAGCAAGAGTTTTCCACTATGCCCAACCCCACTCATTTTATAAGTGAAACACCCCAGGGAGCCACCCCACCCATCTTCTTCTTGTTGCGCGCAAGACGCTGTGACAAGTTGGCCGCCCGCCTTGGGTGGTGGAGGTTGTGTTCTCCTCCTCTCCCTTCTTGGGGTGAGGGATAAAGAAAAGAAAAGGGCAAAACCCGACAACGAGCCTCGAGCATTGCGCGCGTAGACTGGTTGCCGGGTTTCATCCTTTTTTTTTCCTCATCCTCACTCTTCTTTTTCTCTCAAGTTCAAAGTCCCTGAGCATGATATTTCAGGCCTCAGGGTTCAGCGCCTCGGGACGTAAAGTACCCCTCGAGCCCCGCCGAAGCGAGGCATGCCACCCACACACAAACCCCACAGAGGCCGCAGTGGAGCGGTCCAGCAACACAACGGTGTCCTTCCCACTCACAGTGCACACACACAATGACAGTCTCACATGCTCATATCAGAGAGGCACTACGGCATTCCCTAAAATGTACACGGAGCCACACACCTACAGAGGGGAAGAGAAAAACACAAGAAAAAAGAACAACAACAACAACAGGATACCAACAGTACACAAAGCACTCACAATACAATAATCACAGGTGCCACTCCCACCAGAGAAAAACATTCACCCACACCAGCACATCAACTCAACCCCAAAAGGAAAAAAAACAGACCCATAACGTGAAGCCGAAGCTGAACAGTCTCAGTCCATCTCCCCCGCAGGTTGCAGTCACTCAAGCAAACCACACAACAAACAACACACACACACAAACTCAGAAATGTGTTCGTGGCAATGCCGTGAGTGACAACACCGAGAGAGAAGTTGAGAACAAAGAAATGTGTTTTCATTACGTGGGCGGTGTGAGTGGCAGCCTAAACACACAAAGGAACACACAACAGAGGGGCACACTCAAACACTTACAACCCACCAATCTTTATACCAAAATAAAAATTTAAAAGAAGAGTGACTGCGTGGGGCAGACACAATACTGTAGCAAAAAAAAAAAAAGAAATTCACTACTTACTGTGACTGCGATGCCTGGACACAGTCCAATCCACCCCAAGGTGAACAACGGAAAATCATTGTGTACTGAACGTGCCGTGCCCATATCTTTATTCTTGATGTCCCTGCAGCTGTTTGTATACATGAAAAAAAAAGAACCATTCCATAAAAATGAACACACAAGATACACAAGGTGTATCGGAAACGCAAAAGAGAAACACACAGATGCACATAAAGTGCAATGAAATTATAATGAAACACACGCACACACGGGAAAACAAAATAATAAAAACAAAACAAAAAGAAAGCTATGATCACCATGTGAATATGTTCAGGAGGCAAGAACACAATTCACTGCAGTGTGTGTGTGTCTTTCGTACAGGGCGAGCAGTGGGAATGATGCACACATGATGACAGTCCACACACACACACACACAAAGAGAAAAGTGCGGCTGGTAGTGTGCGTGTTCGTGTGTCTTGAACCTCCTGCCATTCTTCACATTCCAGTCACAGCAATTAAAACACATCGGGATTGTATCCCATTCCCAATGGGTAAAAACAATAATTAGTATTATCACGAAACACACACACACACACATCACCAGGCGGGCACAGTAAACGGCAGCACAGCAGTGCCCAGATAATAATGCAAACAAACAAACAAAGAGGACACTCCCCCTCACAAAATGCTGGTTTGTCATGTGTTGAGTGCCATACGGAGTCCAATAGATGTGTTCAGTAAAAAATGCACGCAAGAGATTTATCGTGATTGATGAGAAAAAAAAACATTAAAATTCAATTTAAAAAAACAGTGCCCTTACAATACATCCATGTCCATTCAAACAAAGGTTAACTGTGCAACTGCGTCATGGGAACACTGCTTAGCAAACGAGAGTGTAACCCAACACACAAAAGAGAAGCAACAATAAAGGACTGTGCATCAATGAAGGACCGAGGCTGCCGTCCTTCTTCTTCGCCGTTTCTTCTGCATCTCTTCTTATCTTTTCTTCCATGACCTTTTCTTCCTGAACCTTTTTCCTTCCCGCGTCCTCTTCTTCCCTGGCCCTCTTCACTTTCTCTTCTGCCACGGCCTTTTTCCTTTTCGCATCCTCTTCTTCCCTGACCCTCTTCGCTTTCTCTTCTTCAGCAGCCTTTTTCCTATCCTCCTCAGCTTTTTTTGCCGCCTCTTCTTCGGCCTTTTTCCTTGCTTCTATGGCCTCCCTCACATCGCGTTCAACGCGCTCAGTCTGTTGCACATTAGCCTTCTCCACCTTCTCCTTCACATTCTCGATGATACTCATCTTCTCCCTCCGGCCTCTCGCCGTTTGATCTTCGTTGACAAGCTCTCGAATTCCTGTCACTCTATCTTCATCAAAAGCCCGTTTAATTTCCTCAATGGCTTTATTATTTTCACGTTGGATTTCCTCACCCTCGGAAACACCCTCTACCATTCCCTTGATTCCCCCCGCGACCAGCGCGAACTTTCCTATCGCATCCGCCCAAACCTTAACCTGTTCTTTGGCTTTGGACACCGATCGTGTGGCCTCCAATTCCACAATCCCCAGATCTTTTAAGACAACTTCCAATGCGGCGCGTCTACCCTCGCCGGCTCGCTTCACTTCCTTTGCCTTCTTGCTCTTCTCGGTTTCACCGTCGAACCCGGCATAACCTTCCAGACTTGTTTTGAGGTTCTTCAATGCGTCTTCAGCGTTTCCACGCACAGTAAGACAGACGTGCCCTGTATAGACTGCTCCGTCGATCGTAGACACCGTATCCTCACTTGGAATGTCGTTCTTTCTCTCCTTCAGCTCCGCATTAACCTCGTCAATTAGGACCTTGAACTCCGCCGCTTTCACGTCTTTCTTCAGGAATAGCTTATTCCCCATTTTGGGCCTTTTCTCCAGAAACACGTCGACTCTTTCGCCAAGCTTCTTAATTTTCTCGACGGCTTCCCGGGACTTTTTTACCGTTTCGTTATTGGCTGCAATCGCCTTTTCCCATATGGTCTTACAGGCGGTCGCATTCGCAAACGGAACCTGTGAATCCCTTATTCTCAACATCGTACTTCTTACCGTCGGCTTCAGGTCATCATCGATTTCTTTGTCGTTCCTGATTTCATCGTCGGTATAGTTTACGTTCACTACTTTTTCCTTACTTTCCGCCTCCAATACGGCTTTTTCATCAACCATGTCTTTCTCGGTTTCCCTCGTCGCATCATCGTTCCCGCGACCTCGCCCCACAACTTCCGTCTGGGCGCCCTCGGACACCACACACGCACAGCACTGGAACAGTACCAACAGGAACACCACACGGCGCAGTTGGATGAACATCGTTGCCATGATTGTCACTGTGGGTTGCTTGGATCTGTGGTAACAAGGAAGAAGAGGAAAAGGAGAAAAGAGACGCGCATTTAACACACAAGGCAGAGAGTACACAACAACACAGAGAGAGAGAATACACATCACAACAGCAATCAAACACAACCCAATGAGGGGTACAACAGTAAACCACTCACACAATAAAACACACCCAGAGTTACACAAATATTGAAACAACACCCTGAATTTAGAAGAAGTGGAAAACAAATGGTATCAAAACAATATTAAATAAACGTCTCTACACACACTCCAATATCTTACTCGGTATTCATACACACAAAGTGTGTCTGTATTCTCATTATAATAAAACCATTACCAGGCAGTTCGAACACCAAAATACACCAAAAACACAGTGTACGCCTGACAACATACAAAAACAATACCACAAATCATCAGCAAAACAAAGAGACTGAACAATAATCAACACACCTCCAAACAGAAAAAAGAAAAGAAACCAATGCATCACCATAATATTTATACCAACACCACAATTGGAATCTAAAACCCACTCACCCACAACCATAACAAAAATGATTGCATACATCACTGCAATACCATGCCACTCTTTACAAACAGAGGCAACACACAATTACTCTCTCCCACACACATATTACCTCTTTAATTATCCTTATTATTATTATTATTATTATTTCATTTTTTCCCTCAGAATGCCGGTTCATCTCCTCTTCTCCTTCCACAGGATTATCAGCAAAAAAAAAAAAACACCCACCCAATCAAACACACACGTCCTTTACTCCATGGTGTGTATTAGGATGGTACGATCAAAAACATCCCCCC